GCCACTGCACTCCAGTCTGGGCGACAGAGTGAGACTCCAACTCAAAAAAAAAAAATATCTCATACTAGAAGAAAATGTCGTACATTCTCTGAACCAAAATAACCAGCCACCAATGTTCCAAGGACATTTACAAGTAGTAAGAAAGGTACAGAAAATGCTCTTATTGAAGTGAATGAAATACAGGACTCACTTGTACAGCCATCACATCTATGCACAGCAGGTGATAAGTCAAACCATGTTAGCATTTAATATTTAATAAACCCAAATCCGCACAGGATCTTATAATATATAACTAAGAGAATGAGTCCTTGACCAACTTTTTCAGGAGAAAGTATAATACACCACCTGCAGAAACACTGCTATGAAATTAATTACCTAAACCAATGCTACCCAGAACTTTCTGTGACACTGGAAATTCTTTTTTCTTCTCTGATTGGAGTCTCACTCTGTTGCCTAGGCTGGAGTGCAGTGGCACACTGAGAGTCACCTCAGCCTTGACATGCTGGGCTTATGTGATCCTTTCACCTCAGCCTTCCAAGCAGATGGAACTACAGGCATGAACCACCATGTCCAGCTAATTTTTTGATTTATTGTAGAGACAAGGTCTTGCCATGTTGCCCAGGCTGGTCTTGAACTGAGGGGTCAGGCAATCCTCTCACCTCTGCCTCCCAAAGTGCTGGGATTATAGGCATGAGCCACAGCACCTGGCTGAAATTTTTTTTTGCTATTTAATCCAATTTCCAATAGCCACATGACTACAGAGCACGTGAAGTAAGTTTAATTAAGAAATGTGTAATTTTACATTATTTAATTTTAATTCAAATACTCGCATGTGACTACTGTAGCAGCACAGCTCTAAATGCCAAAAGCTAATGGCAATCTAAAAAACTGCAGCATACCAACTCTCAACTCTCTACAGTCAGTCCAACACAAAGTTTTGTCTCACTTACCTCCTCTCTCAAATCCAACCACTTCTCTCTCATTCCCATACTCTAGTCCATGTCCCTTCTCACCATGCAGTTACAACAGCCTCCTCACATCTACTCAGGCTACCATCTGCCACAGGACCCCTTACCAAACAATCCCCCACTCCACCCAGAGGACTTTTCACAAATCAAAATCTGACCACGTTACTGCCCCAAACTTGAAACTCTTCTGGCGTTTGTAGTCAACTTATCTTAGGGTAGACACCAAATCCCAAATCTATAAAGCTTCTAGCCTTATCTTCCCTGCTTGCCAACCTCTCTCCCCATCCAACCAACCTCTGCCCTTTTAGCCACTCTGGTGTTTTTTCAGGTTTTCACCTCAGAGCCTTTCATATATTGCCCCTTCATCTTTTCCTGGTCAACTCATCCCTCAGAAGTTATCCTTGTTAGGCTGAACACCTATCTCAAGTACCTTTTTATAATTGTAAATGTAATACTGCCTTGTTACATTAACAGCAACTTACACAGAGTATTTGCTATTTACTACATGTTTTCCTAAGCACTTATTCATGTGACAGTAGTCAAAGTTACTTGGGAGGCCAAGGCAGGAAGGTCACTTGAGCTTCAGTGAGCTATGGCCATACCACTGCACTCTAGCCTGAGTGATAGAGCAAGGCACCTGGGCTCTTGCTTTCTTCTTTCTCCTCACACCCGAGTTTCACAGTTCATTTTCTAGACTGGTAACTCAAATTATTAAGAGACAGAGGCTCACACAATTAAATCACAAGGAGAGGTTTATTCATTTAAATGAAGATGGTAGTCTCTCCAGACTAGTAACTCTTGTTTTGCACACTGCTACGTTAGCTTTTATTTATTATTTATGTATGTGTATATTTACTTATTTTTGAGAGGTAGGGTCTCACTCTGTCACCCAGGCTGGAGTACACAAGTACACACAGCCTCAAAATCCTGGGCTCAAGTGATCCTCCTTGCTTCAGCCTACCCAGCCCACCACACCTGGCTGATTTTTTGGTAGAGACAAGGTCTCGCTATATTGCCCAGGCTGGTCTCAAACTCCGGGCTTCAAATGATTCTCCTATCTCAGTCTCCCAATGTGCTGGCGTTAACAGGTGTGAGCCACTGTGCCCGGCCTTAGACTATCTTTTAAAATAAATGCCTTGGCTGGGCTTGGTGGCTCAGCCTGTAATCCCAGCACTTTGGGAGGCCGAGAAGTGGGCTGTCTGAGCCTGCAGGTTTGAGATCAGGCCAGGCAACTTGGCGAGACCTCATCCCTAAAATAAAAAAATAAAAAATTAGCTGGGCGTGGTTTCGTGCGCCTGTACTTCTAGCTCCTTGGAAGGCTGAGGTAGAAGGATTGCCAGAGCCCAGCAGATGGTGGAGTGGTCGTGAGCATGCCACTGCACTCCAGCCTGGGCGACAAAGTGAGACTCCAACTCAAAAAAATAATAAAATAAAATAATATAGCCGGACTTGGTGGCTCAGCCTGTAATCCCGCGCTTTGGGAGGCCGAGGTGAGTGAATTGCCTGAGCCCACGGGTTCAAGACCCGCCTGGACAACTTGGCAAGACCTCATCTCTACCATAAGTCAAAAAAATTAGCCAGGTGTAGTAGTGCGCACCTGTAGGTCCAGCTACTTGGAAGGCTGAGGCGGAGGATTGCCGGAGCTCAGCAGGTTGAGGCTGCAGTGGCCAGGAGCGTGCCACTGCACTCCAGTCTGGGTGACAGAGTGAGACTCCAACTCAAAAAAAAATAATAAAATAAATAACATAAAGTAAAATAAACAAATGCCTTTAACTTAAAGGCAAACAAGTGTACCCACTGGCATTTAGATCTTTATTATTTGGTGGTAGTAGACATAACCTCTGATTTGAGTGATTAAAACACTTCACCTCATCCACAAAAAAACAAACTAAAGATCACTGTACTTGTGGCAAAGGTTTTTATCAACTAGAAAACTGTAAAAAGACTAAACTGGCATTAGGTCAATTAGAATATGCTATTCCAATAAACTTAGGCTGGAAATATCCATCAAGACCCAGTACTGGGATTTTTCCATGTCTCACCTGCACAGATGAGGAGAGTTCACACTTGGCCTTCTCAGCAGCTTCCCGTACCCTTTGAAGGGCCATGTTGTCTTTGGTCAAATCAACCCCTGTCTACAAAATGAAGAAATATAGCATTAGGGAGGTGATGAATAAAATTTAAATTGCAGTAATAAGGCAGAACAACATGAAGTCATGCCTTTATACCCCTAAAGATCTACAGGGGGAAAAAAAATCTATTCTGAAAGAGAGTTTCTGTACCTAGAGTAAGGATGCTGAACTGATGTCCAGTTCTTTCCAGGCCTAGGATTCTAGTTCAAAATAAGAATCCTCAAAATTCCTCTTCCGATATTGTATATTGCATGCCATATACTTCTAAGTCTCTTGTTTGTTCCTAATCTGAATCTATAATATAATCAAAATGGTTCAGTCTACCCATGAACCTGAAATTCAATTATTTTGGTGCTCTATTAAGGGCAAAAAATTTTAAACAAAGCAAAGAGCAATGTAAACAAAGATATTCTCCTTATCCCAATATCTACATATTGACCACAAGGATAACTAACCTCTCTCTTGAACTCCTTCACAATGTGTCGTAGCAAGGCCTGGTCAAAGTCTTCACCCCCTAAGAAAGTGTCCCCATTCGTAGATTTCACCTCAAATACTCCTTTCTGAATTTCCAGGATAGAAATATCAAAAGTTCCGCCACCTAAATCATATACAGCAATGCTAGAACGAAAGAAAGAGAGCTTCAAGGAATAAAACCTATCACAACGGTATAAATTTCAATAACCAAATGAAGATAGACTAAACTATTTTCCTGAAGTATGTAATTATAAACTTGCCAACATGCTTATCAAGGCAAAGAAAACGTATCATGGCCCAAAAGAAAATAGAGGAATGGTCTTGAAATGAATAAAAAACATAAGATCATACAGACTTGAAATAGGTAAGTACATTTTTAGTCAAAAGCAAAGCTTAATCACTAAGAAAGCAGAGGAACTGGGTAAGTCTCATAACTTCATGTCTTTAATTTCACACATCTAGGAAAAATCTGCACAAACTTACACTTTGTCTTCTGATTTGTCTAGACCATAGGCCAGGGCAGCAGCTGTGGGCTCATTAATCACTCGAAGCACATTTAGTCCAGATATCTGGCCAGCATCCTTAGTGGCCTAGAGAAAACAAAAGAAAATAAAAAAGCATTTTTGTACCCTTGCACCCCAGGTACCATTATTTTCTGTAAGAATGCTAATCGGTCTCACCTGTCTCTGTGAGTCATTGAAATAAGCTGGGACTGTGATCACAGCATTTTTTGCTGTGTGCCCCAAGTAATTTTCTGGAAAAGAATAAAATAATGAAATTCGTATCATGGGATTCTGTCAGATAAAACAGTCAACAATTATTAATACAGTCCAACAGCCCGAATGATCATTACACAGACTACACTTATCAATCTGTTTAGGCAAGTGACCTACCATGTAGAGACCTTGTAGTAAAACACTCCAAGTAAAGACATTGGTTACAAACCCAGTATCTCACTTTTTGCCATTTTAGTGCGGATTCAGTAAGCTACAGTGACTTAAAAGAGCTAACAGTTTCTTCAAATGGGAAATTCTAAGTTTTACCTAACAGGGTCGAAAGCTTAATGTTAGTGTTGTGGCTTCTAATACAGAACATTCCCCTACTGGAAAAAAGAAAGAAGTCAGCCACTATTTGTGAAACTTAAAGACACATTCAATCTGCAGGAAAAATATAAAGCAAAATGAAGTCCTGTCATTCCTAGATTTTCTTTGTTGAGTCAGTCTCACTCTGCTGCCCAGGCTGGAGTGCAACAGCACGACCACAGCCACTGCAGTCTCAGCCTGCTGGGCTCAGGTGATTTTTCCACATCAGCCTTCCAAGTAGCTGGAACTACAGGTGCATGCCACCATGCTCAGCTAATTTTTTTTTTTTTAGGCCAAGTTGCCCAAGCTGGTCTCCAACTCCTGGGCTCAGGCAAAACTTTTGCTTCTGCCTCCCAAAGTGCTGGGATTATAGGCGTGAGCCACCATGCCCGGCCATTCCTAGATTTTCTATACAAAAGGTAACACAGATTCATCTATGGGACATTGTGGTATAGAGCCAGTGATCTCAGAGGAATAATTCGGTTATTTTAACTTCCCAGATACGAGCTAAATTCACTCACCTGCAGTCTCTTTCATCTTCATCAACACAAATGCTCCTATCTGACTTGGAGAATAAAGTTTCCCATGGGCCTCAACCCAGGCGTCACCATTGGAGGCACGGACGATTTTAAAGGGAACATTTTTACTGAAAAATACAGAAATTACATTAGAAAAAACTGGCCAGTGCAACCTATGACAAAACTGCCATATATTATGAATATCCATCTTTCACTCTAAAGACTCAGAGTCAACAAATGATAATTTCAGGAATTCACCTAACAAAAATCTTTAGAATGCAATGTCTTATTAATAGCATGTAAAAACACAATCCTTTGAAACTTGATTATATATATATATTCTTTGTGTTGAAGTCTCACTCTGTCATCCAGGATGGAGTGCAGTGGCACGCTCACAGCCACCGCAGCCTCGACCTGCTGAGTTGAGGTGATCCTTCTGCTTCAGCCTCCCAAGTAGCTAGAACTACAGGCACATGCCACCACGCCCAGCTAGTTTTGATTTATTGTACAGATGAGGTCTCGCCAAGTTGCCCAGGCTGATCTCAAACCTGTGAGCTCAGGCAGTCCTCTCATCTCGGCCTCCCAAAATGCTGAGATTATAGGTATGACCTACCATGCCCGGCCAGAAACCTGAATATTCTTTACATCCCATTAAAGATTTTTGAAGCAGCTTTGGAAAATAGTGTGGCAGTTCCATTTGACAACAAAACATAGTTACCATATGACCCAGCAATCCCACCTCTACATATACTAACTACCCAAGAGAAATGGAAACATTTATGTCCAAAAACTTGTACGTAAATGTTTATAATGATGGAATATTATTATTATCATTATTTTTTTTTTGAGTTGGAGTCTCACTCTGTCGCCCAGACTGGAGTGCAGTGACCGCTCCCGGCCACTGCAGCCTCAACCTGCTGGGCTCTGGCGATCCTTCCACCTCAGCCTTCCAAGTAGCCGGAATTACAGGCATGCGCTACCACGCCCGGCTGATTTTTTGATTTATTGTAGAGATGAGGTCTCGCTGCCCAGGCGGGTCTCGAACCCGCAGGCTCAGGCAATCCACTCCCCTCAGCCTCCCAAAGGCGTGGGATTACAGGCTGAGCCACCGAGCCCGGCTCGGAATATTATTTTTTTTTTCGAGTCTCACTCCATCACCCAGGCTGGAGACCTGTTGGACTCCAGTGATTCTTCTGCCTCAGCCTTCCAAGGTTGGTCTCAAACCTGCAGGCTCAGGCAATCCATTCATCTCAGTCTCCCAAAGTACTGGGATTGCAGGCTGAGCCACCAAACCCAGCCGGAATATTATTCTTAATAGCCAAAAAGTGGAAATAAGCCAAATATCCATCACCCAACAAATAGATAAACAAAATGTGCTATATATTCATACAGCAAGATATTGTTTGGTCACAAGAAGGAATTAAGTACTGATCTATGTTACAACATGGATGGACTTAAAAACACACTAAGTGAAAGAAACCAGTCACAGAAGTCCACACATGACTCCATTCATGTGAAATTCATATTCCACTTACAGCTCGATTAAGCTATTTTTTTTTAATTTACACAACAGGAAATTCCTATGCTTCTAGTATTTTAATTTGGTAAAAAGTAAAACTAAGTTTTATTCTCTCTCTTTCTGGTCAACACATCATGAAAGTTATATCATTTCTGCCTTAGGTGTACAACAATAAATCATGTGATTCAGGAATGCCTTGTAAATCTTCTTGTATCGTTATCACTACATAGCAAAAATACCTAAACTGTGAAGGCAAAAATTTTTTTTTTGAGTTGGGGGTCTTGTTCTGACACCCAGAATGGAGTGCAGTGGCATGATCACAGCTCACCAGAGCCTCGACCTCCTGGGCTCAGCAACCCTTCCATCTCAGCAACTTCAGTGGCCGGGATTCCAGGTGTACACCATCATGCCCAGCTAATTTTTTTATTTTTGTGGAGATGAGGTCTCACTATATTGCCCAGGCTGGTCTAGAACTCCTGGGTTCAAGTGACCCTCCTACCTCAACTTCCCAAAGTACTGCAATCACAGGTATGAGCCACAGGTGTTTATTTATTTATTTTTTTTAAAGGCCTTACCCGTTTGGCAGTGACACAGACCTCCCTCAGGGACAATATGCAAAGTGTTTAAAGCAAAGTGCTCCCAGAAACCTAATCAACATGCTTCAAAATTACTCCGTGTGGTCCTAGAAATAACTGTGCTTGTTGTTACTCACATGTCTTTCTGTACTTCCGGGTCATCATATCGCCGGCCAATGAGTCGCTTGGTAGCATAGAAGGTGTTGTTTGGGTTGGTGACAGCCTGCCGTTTGGCTGGCATGCCAACAAGTCGCTCACCATCTGCTGTAAAGGCCACAACTGAAGGGGTGGTTCTGGCACCTTCAGCATTCTCCAGCACCTAAAACTCCAAAAATGAGACAGATAAAAAGGTTCTCGTTATCACTGGTATCTTTGCAGCACATCATTTAAGACACAGAAAAGGCTCCAAGTTATAAAACAAATGCTTAATAATAGTACTAACAGGCATGCTTTACTGCTGAGAATGCTGGCACAGGAAATACCTACTACTGAAGACAGCAGATATTTAAGGTATCTTGCCATTTTTAGTCCTTTACTTTGAAATTACTTCCAATTAAAAAAACCCAAAAAACCAAAGACTATAGATGAAGTCTTTCATACTCAGTGTTGACACAAGGTAATCTTGCCTTCCTTATGGAGAATTAAATCTACTTCTGATTTTTTGTAGTGGCTACAAATTTCAGGGAAAAATACCAAGCACAAATTAGGACCAACAGAAAAGATTATCTTCTCTTGGTGCCGAACAAGTGGGATAAGAAGTCTCTAGACAGCTCAGGCTGTTTCAGAAGAAGGCATGGGGGAAAGAGGAAGCATGGAGGGAAGGCCACAAATGGAAGAAGCAAGAGTCAAGAATCCCAGGTACTCTAAGTCTTGATAAGAATCCAGTGGAAATAAAGATTTCATGTACAGTATGGCAGCTTCCAAAGGAATAGCTTGCTCCAAAAAACATGCTTCATTAGGATGTGGACTTCCACTTGCTTTTAGTCTGTTCTTGCACTTCTGATCTTGGTTCAACTGAATTCCAAAAATTTAAGACTTTAGATGTAATTAACAGTGCATGCCATTCCAACTCCTTTTACAGTAGTTTAACTCTATGCCAAGAGGAGACATTTAAATCACATCCTAAGAAGTTAGATACATTCGAATACTGGTACTTCAAAGGTTCACCTCATAAGAGCCTTCAGCAACCAAAATTAGCTTTTAGATGTAAATAAGGCCTCAGAAGACCCTTATCTAAGGCAAAGGAGACAGAATTCTGGATAGGGCACTACTACCAATCATGCTCACCTTTGCTTGTTTACCTTCCATAACTGCCACACAGGAGTTGGTAGTACCCAAATCAATACCAACAACGGCTCCTTTGATTGCTTCTGATCTGTTAAGACATTTTAAAACAACATTTTTTTTTGAGCTGGAGTCTCACTCTTTTGCCCAGGCTGGAGTGCAGTGGCACGCACGCTCACAGCCACTCCAGCAATCCATCCGCCTCAGCCTTCCAAGTAGTTGGAACTATAGGCGTCCACTAACATACCTGGCTATTTAAAAAATTTATTGTAGAGACAAGTTCTCGCCAAGTTGCCCGGGCTGGTTTTGACCCCACAGGCTCAGGCAATACACTCGCCTTGGCCTCCCAAAGTGCTGGGATTACAGTTTGAGTCACTGAGCCCGGCCAACAAAATTATCTTTTTTTTTTTTGAGTTGGAGTCTCACTCTGTCGCCCAGACTGGAGTGCAGTGGCCGCTCCCGGCCACCGCAGCCTCGACCTGCTGGGCTCCGGCGATCCTTCCGCCTCACTGTTCCAAGTAGCTGGAACTACAGGTGTGCGCTACCACACCCAGCTAACTTTTGATTTTATTGTAGAGATGAGGTCTTGTCAAGTTGCCCAGGCGGGTCTCAAACCCGCGGGTTCAGGCAATTCACTCACCTCGGCATCCCAAAGTGCGGGATTACAGGCTGAGCCACCGAGCCCAGCTAGCAATATTATCTTAATAGACCAATATGACTGGCAAATAGTACTTGACAAGAAAATTGACAGTGGCACACTATATAGTCTATAAATAAATAAAGGTGGGTGATTAAAGATAACAGTTCATCACAAATGTAGAAACCACTGCTCTGGGGTTTGACATGTTATTCTCTCTCAAAGGAAATGAAGTTATACTTACGCATAATCCCGCCTTGAAACAATTCTAAAAGCCTCATGACTGAGGCCATTCCAGCCATCCTTAAAAAAAAAAAAAAAAAAATTTACTCAACCAATGACCAGTGTATATCCTGGGAAGGGGAAGGAACGGGCTCGTTCCAATTATTCTTCTGAAGAACACATGAAAACTTTTTGATATTTTCATTCATGGTGGAATAAAAAAAGTGCTTAGTTACTTAATTTAATTAAGATACTAAACAGCAAACATTTAATAAATGTGTTATCTTCTCCAAGTAAGATAAAAATAAGTATAAAATTGCCTTGAATTACATTACAACAGGACCTCTCAACCTTGCACTGTTAACTTTGGGCCAAATCTTTGCTGTAGGGGGTTATTCTGTACATTATAGGATATTTAGCAGCATCCCTGGCCTCTGCACCCCAGTAAGTTGTGACAACCTAACATATCTACAGACGTTGCCACATGTCCCCTAGGGGAAAACCCTCGGGGAGACACTTCCCTTGACCTTTCCATGCAAGTGGTTTAAGGGAACCAGGATTACAGATCTTGTGGAGTCACAAAAAAAAATTTTTTTTAGTAGTGGCCTTCCACCAGGATAAAGTCCTTAGTTACAACCTAACTTCAGACTCCTTCCAAATCTTCCTTAATGTCCACATGTGAGGGCAGAGAGACAATTCCTGTTCTCCAAAGACATCTGGGTTTTTTTTTTTCCTTAACTTTAGGTGATGAGTAACCACTCCACGGCCTTTTTTCTCCATATCTTTTTTTCCTTCTTTCGTCTCCAAGTTTTTGTAGAGACTAATCTGCTTTTTTTATTTGAAGTAACAAACAAGTCTTACACCGAAGGCTTTGAGAAAATGTTTCTCTAAGCACGAAAACTGGAGCTCTTAGAATTTAGGAGCTTGCCTGCTTTATTTCACCACTGTCAACGAGACCCTTGAGCGCTTTTTTTTTTTTTTTAAATGAAAAGAGGAACCGTTCTTCGACCCTTAGGTGAAAATATAACCGAAAATAGCGACTTTCCCGAAGAACTGCATCCCTCGTTCACAAAGCCAAACCTTCTCAACTAGCCACGGCACGGACAGTCAGCACCACTACCTGCTCATTGAGAGGGCACTCTAGACTGCGAGGGGTGTGACTCAGCAGGGCCCGAGACATGGAGGCAAAACCTTGAGCAAGACCTTGGGTCAGCAACGCTAACTAGAGGCCCGTTATGGCCCTTCCCTCTTAGTCTGTCCCGGAGGATTCTGACCCCAAACGACCCGGCCTGCCGCTCTGAGGCGCGAGGCCTTCAGCCCATCCGAGGTCCGGCAGCTCCTCACCTGGGGGCGGGCGGCGGCAGGGGCCCGGGAGGCTGCAGCGCCCACGAGACGGGCTGCCGCGGCTCGGCTGGCGCTTATCATGGCGGCTAGACGGAGAGAATGCCAGACAGTAAACGAGCGCTCGGGCAGCCCGGAGATGCGCGGCACCGCGCGGTGGTGGCAGCGCTTCTGGAAACCTCCAACCACGTGGGGTGAGGGGCGGGGGTTGGCCACTGCGGCCCAGAGGCCCGCTTTTCCGCCGAGGCGCCGCCGGCTCCGCCTGATCAGAGACTGCCAGACCGCGGCTCCCTAAGTCAAGGCATACAGATAATGCGCTCCGCAGCATGGTGGTGGAAAACAGCCCGTCCTTCCGTTCCGGCCGCGGCGGCTCTGGGGTCAGTGAGAGTCGAGGAGAGGAAAACGGTTATGAAGGCAGCATCTCAGACAGCCCCGGTCCTCGGAGGCAGGAAAGACTCAAGGTCACACGGGATAAATTGGGAACCGATTACATTCATCTTGCGTCAGTTGCGCGGAAGGCGGAGCCTGTTGCGCCTGCGCAACTGGTATCGCCCTAAGGGCCTGGAGCGCATGTGCGCTGGGAGTGGCGGAACACGGGGGTGGAGACTAACTGCAGCGTTCATTGGATGCCCCCTCGCACGCGAGCGTAGCCCGGGGCGCGCCCGGGCGCGCGCCCAAGCCGCAAGAGTGGACTTGTTCCCCGCTTCCGCCCCTCCAAGAGGGCGCCATCTTGTCTTGTGGCTTTGTTACGTCGAGACGTTGATTTGTCGCTGGGTCCTGCCCTTTGTTCACAACTTGAAATACACCTGGATGTTGCGTTTCACCCCAGAGGTCTCAGGTTTCCAACTACAAAACAGCGTTGTGTTCACACAGCATCGAATCACGTTGGTTGTCATGCCACAAAGTCAAAGGCAAAAAATACCCCAACGCAGGCTCTTCCCCGCCCCCGCTGTGCCGGACCGAGGCTCCTCTGGCCCTTCTCAAATCTTGTGCTGGTTGCAAGATGTTAGTTACTACTCTACGCTGTGACCGGTTTCAGCTTTTTAAGAAAAGGAACGAATTCACTGATTCAGCACCTAAGTACTGGCGTGCCTACTGGGTGACAGTCACTCTTCTAGGTGGCACAGTGAAAGCACACCATGAACTTGCTGGTGAGATGACAAGTGAGACTGGAACTGCCTATATAAAATTAATACGGGTACACGGCGTAAGAGACGGTAGAAGAGCCTTGAGTCCCGCAGAGGTGCAGCTGTGGTTAGGAATGATCAACTCTGTTGGTCTGCACCGTCACTTCCTTCTATAGAGAACAGTGGATTGGCTTCACGTCCTGACCCTTGGGGAGGGGGAAGCTGATCCCGAGGTTGGAAAACACATTTTCCCTTAAACAACGAGCCATCAGATCCTCCTGATGGCATCTCGAGGGATTTCCCCCTTCCACATCCATTCTTCACCAGATGAGTTACTTCCCCAGTTGCTCCTGCAGATAACGTAAACCTGACCGATGTCTGAGATATTTTTCAGATCCTGCATTTTGATAGACCTTCTGACTCAGACTGGACCAGGGACCCTTGACCCCCATCCAGAAACTGACATGGTGCAGGGAGACAATCTCAACATCTCTTTGATTCAATTCCCCGACCAACCACCAGTCCCAATTATCTAGCCCCCTGTGGGCCAAATTGCCTTTAAAAGCCCTAGTGGAGCCAGGCGCAGTGGCTCATGCCTATAATCCCAGCATTTTGGGAGACCAAGGTGAGAGGATTGCCTGGGCCCATGGATTCAAGACCAGCTTGGGCAACTTGGCGAGTTCTCTACAATAAATCATAAAATTAGCCGGTTGTGGTGGCACATACCTGTAGTTCCATCTATTTGGAAGGCTGAGGCGGAACGATCACCTGAGCCCAGCAGGTCGAGACTGCAGTGGCCTGTGAGTGTGCCACTGCACTCCAGCCAGGGCGACAGAGTGAGACTCCGACTAAAAAAACACACAAAAAAACAACAAAAAAAGCCCCTAGCCAAAGCCTCTTTGGAAGGTAAATTTCAGAAATACCTCCTGTCCTCCTTACTCAGCTGCTTTATTGTTATTATTTTTTTTTCTGGTCGAAGTCTCACTCTGTTACCCAGGTTAGATTGCAGTGGCACACTCACCACTACCTCAGCCTGGACCTGCTAAGCTCAGGCGATCCTTCTGCCTCAGCCTTCCCAGCAGCTTGGACTACAGGTATGCGCCACCACATCCAGCTAATTTTTTGATTTATTGTAGAGACAACGTCTTGCCAAGTTGCCCAGGCTGGTCTCAAACCCCTGGGCTCAGGCAGTCCTCTCACCTCCATCTACCAAAGTGCTGGGATTATAGGCATGAGCACCTGGTTTATCATATTAAACTCTTTCTCTACTGGGTGAGTCTCAGTTTTTCTGGGCAGTGGGCGTAAGAACCTGGTCAGGCTGCAACAAGATTGAAGTTGATTTTGAAGATGAAGCAATTTGTTCTTGAAGTCCTATTTCTTTTTTCTTTCTTTTTTTTTAAATTTGTATGGTTTTTTTCCCTTTTAATTTTTATTTAAAATTGTGGGGTACAATTCAGGGTCAGGTATACAAATATTCACCGTGCAGGTACCCTTATCAATAAGGTGTGGCCCCACTTCCCCAGGCAGATATTGACTACTGTCAATCCCATCTCCCCACCCTCCAACCCCCTCCCCGCAGTTTCCAGTCACTTTCAATCCCTTTCTTTTTTTATTTTTTAATTTTTTATTTATTTTTTTATTTTTTATTTTTCATAATCAATATTTTTTATTATGGTTTTGTGGGGTACAGTTAAGGGTTAGGTGTACAATTACGTTTCATTCAGGCACCCTGTTGATAAGAGGTGTTTCCCCATCCCCAGACAGATATTTGCTACTGTTAATCCCATCTCCCTCCCCCCCCCATAGTTTCCCAGTACCGTCAGTCATTTTCTTACAGTATTTGGAAGTCCTATTTCAAAAGAGAAAAAAGGTTCAAGCCCCTACCACTTTCTCTAGAAAAATCAGTATTGTTAAATAATCACCACAGTGTGAGCAGTTGTGAAGGAAATGTTGGGGAAAGTTTGGGAGGGAAACAAGACAACTGAAGAGTTTACATTCTGAGGGAGATGGAAGTGGGAGTAAGAAAATAAACAGAAAAGCCAAATGTAACATTGGTTATAGTTCATGCAGATTCTTTTTTTTTTTTTTAGTTGGAGTCACTCTGTCGCCCAGACTGGAGTGCGGTGGCCGCTCCTGGCCACCGCAGCCTCGACCTGCTGGACTCCGGCGATCCTTCCGCCTCAGCCTTCCCAGTAGCTGGAACTACAGGCACGCGCTACCATGCCTGGCTGATTTTTTTTATTTATTGTAGAGATGAGGTCTCGCCAAGTTGCCCAGGCGGGTCTCGAACCCGCGGGCTCAGGCAGTCCACTCACCTCAGCCTCCCAAGGCGCGGGATTACAGGCTGAGCCACGGAGCCTGGCTCTAAAAGTTTTTTTAAAAAGCCTCCCACACAATCTGCCTTAAGTGTTAGCTATTATTATATATCCTCCCTAATCTACTTAACACTCTTAATTTTTCTTGTTTTTTAGTTCCCTCAGAGGTAGATTTGCCTAAGGTCATCAAAGTCACAAGCTCATGACTCCTATTTGTAGAGATATATATATTTATTTATTTATTTATTTATTTTTTTGAATCAGAGTCTCACTTTGTCACCAGGCTGGAGTGCAGTGGCAGGTTTATGACCACCCCAGTCTTGACCTGCCGGGCTCAGGTGATCCTTCTGCCTCAGCCTTCCAAGCAGCTGGAACCACAGGCTTGTGCCACCATGCCTGGCTAATTTTTCTTGATTTATTATAGAGATAAAAATCTCACCATGTTGCCCAGGCTGGTCTCGAACCCATGGACTCAGGCAATCCTCTCACCTCGGCCTCCTGACGTGCTGGGATTATAGGCATGAGCCACTGTGCCCAACCTGAGAGTCACATTCTTTTTTTAAATTTTTATTTATTTATTTATTTGACTAGGAGTCTTACTCTTGCCCAGGCTGGAGTACAGTGGCACGTTCATGGCCACTGCAACCCCGACCAGCTGGGCTCAGGTGATCCCTCTGTCTCAGCCTTCCAAGTAGCTGGAACCACAGACACGTGCCACCATGCCCGGCTAATTTTTCTTGATTTATTGTGGAGACAAGGCCTCACCAAGTTGCCCAGGCTGATCTTGAAACCGTGGGCTCAGGCTGTTCTCTCACCTTGGCCAAAGTGCTGGGATTATAGGCGTGAGTCTCTGCGCCCAGCCTGAGACTTTATTCTTTTTAAAATGTTTATTTATTTATTTATTTTAGTAGGAGTCTTACTCTGTCACCCAGCCAGACTGGAGTGCAGTGGCACACTCATGACCACCTCAGCCTCAACCTGCTAGGCCTCAGGTGATAGGCGATTCTTCCACCTCAACCTTCCAAGTAACTGGAACTATAGGTGTGCGCTACCACACCCGGCTAGTTTTTTTATTTATTGTGAAGAAAAGGGCTCGCCAAGTTTCCCAGACTGGTCTCGAACCTGTGGACTCAGGCAATCCTCGCACCTTGGCCTCCCAAAGTGCTGGGATCATAAGTGTGAGCCATTGCGCCCAGCCTGAGACTTATATTCTTTTTTTAAGTTGTTAATAGAGATGATATTTTGTTGTGTCGCTCAGGCTGGTCTCAAACTCCTGGGCTCAAGCAGTCCTCCTGCCTTGGCCTCCCAGAGTGCTGGGATTACAGGTGTGAGCCACTGTGCCCAGCCAAGAGACTTATATTCTTTTTTGGGGGGGGGGGTTGGAATCTCACTCCATCACCCAGGCTGGAGTGCAGTGGCACACTCACAGCCACCCCAGCATCCACCTGCTGGGCTCAGGTGATCCTTCCACCTCAGCCTTCCAAGTAGCTGGTACTACAGGCATGCGCTACCACACCCAGCGAATTTTTTGTTTTATTGTAGAGATGAGGTCTCATCAAGTTGCCCAGGCTGTTATCGAATCCATGGGCTCAGGCAATCCCCTTACCTCAGCCTCCCAAAGTGCTGGGATTACAGGCTTGAGCCACCATGCCCGGCCAAGACTTATATTCTAAAACAATATACTGATGCAAAAGAAGGCAATGAGGATGACAAATAAATAATGCTAAACACTGAATCAAAATAGAAATAGAAAACACATTGTGCAGGACAGGGAGGAAGGAGGACAGGTGAAAGCAATAGAGTAACTGCACTTTTCTCACCTCCCTCTTCTCTCAACTTGTTCTTTTAGATTTTTGCTTTTCTCTTTCTTCTTTGTAGCACTAGAAAGCCACAAAGTGTTCATCTAAAGGTTCCGGGAATCAAGTAATGTTAACTAAAGAGTGTCTGAGACTATGATTCTGTGGGTGCATCCAGTATATGATTGACATTCCTGGTGGTTTTCCCAGGCTCCTTGCAAATACTCTGCACAACCACAAGGGGGATGCGGTAGCTC